GTTTGAGGGCTGGGCTCTGGGCTGCAAATATCAGAAAACCAAATGCAAGTGGGTTTAAATGATATGGACAATTTATTCTTTCACAAGTCAAGAAATGTCATTAAGGACACAGAGCTTTTTCCTCTTTTCTATTCTGCCATTCTCAGGTGTTATGTCGCAATAGAGATGCAGAAGCTCCAGACATCACCATCTCACACAGACTCAGACAGAGGCAAGAAAAGAAAATGTTCTCACATTTTTAGATGCAAGAAAATTTCAGAATCCCCCTGTGCTGACTTCCCTCCCACTCTTATTGGCCAGAGCTGAGTCTTGTGCCCACTTCTACATCACTCTCTAGCAAGAGAATGGAGTTCTTATAATTGGCTTATAATAATCAAAATTCTCAACTCTGGAGCTAGCAGGAACCCAGCTTCCAAGATTTCCCTGAAACCAAATTAAAACAAGCTTTTGTTAGCAAGAAATAAGAAGAAAAATAGGGGGCGCCTGGGTGGCTCAGTCCATTGGGCTGGGGGGACTCTTGGTTTCTCTTGGTTTCAGCTCAGGTCATGGTCTCAGGGTCATGAGACCCTGTGTTGGGCTCCATGCTCAGTGGAAAGTCTGTTTAGGATTCTCTCCCTCTACCTCTATCTCCCCACCCCCTAAATAAATAAATAAATAAATAAATAAATAAATAAATAAATAAATAATTTTTTTTAAAAGGAAGAAAAATAGATGTTGGGTGGACCACCATGCATGGCAGGCTCTTCCAAGAGCTCATTCCAAGGAGAAGAAAAGAAGGTCTACTATTTTAACCCCAACAAATATACCCTTATTAGTTATCTACTAATTATTTGTTATCTATTGCTGCATAACATATTACCCAAACTTAATGACTTAAAACCACACATATTTATTATCTCAATATTTCTGTAGATCAGGAATCTGAGAAAGGCTTAAAGGGGACCTCTGTGACACAGCCTCTCACAGGCTGTGATCAGAATGTTGGCTAGGACTGAGGTCTCATCTGAAGACTCAACTGGGGAAGGATCCTTTTCCTAGCTCACTTATTTGGTTTCAGACTGGATTGTGTTCCTCAAGAACCATTGAACTCAGGGCCTCAGGGCCTCACTGTTGGCTGAGGGCTACTCTCATGGGCTTCTCCAACTCTTGTGTGCAATTTGCTCCATCCAAACCAGTAAGGGAAAGAGTCTGGTAGCAAGATAGAAGTCAGTCTTTGTAACCTGACCATGGAAATGACATCCCCTCAATATTTTCATACTTTGTTGGTTAGAAGCAAGTTACTCAAGGGGAGGGAATTACATGAGGTCATGAGCACCAGGAGGTAGGATCATCTTCAAGGATCCCTGCCATACTGTGCCTTCTTCTGGATTTCAGGACTCCGGTGCTTGACCATTTGTTTTCCCAACTTCTACCTGAACCCTCTCTCCTTCTCTTCTCCTGCTACTGGAAAGGCACTCTCCACCCCACCCCCACCCCCACTGACACCTTCCTGAAGTAGGCATCACCCTTTTTTTTCTGCAGGACCACAATGGCAGAATCATTCTGGGGGAATGCAGAGGATTTCAATAAACACATCTGTTTGGCATTTTTTAAATCTTATCCCTGAAAGAATCACATAATCATGTACAAGTTTATTTTTTAAAAGATTTTATTTATTTGACAGAGAGAGTGAGAGAGCACTAGCATGGGGAGAGGGAGAAGGAGAGAGAGAAGCAGGCTCCCCGCTGAGCAGGGAGCCCGATGCGGGGCTCCATCCAGGACCCTGGGATCATGACCTGAGCCGAAGGCAGATGCTTAATGACTGAGCCACCCAGGCGCCCCTCATGTACAAGTTTAAATACACAGAATGAGTAGCAGAGTTAGAAAACAGAGAAGAAGCAGAGGCAGCTCTGAGGCAAGGCACAGGGGTCTGCATGAGAAGTCAGTGTTGTCAGAGACAGTGGCTTGGTTTCCCCAGAGCAATCAGAGGTACGTGGATAGGGAAAGTTTTCTGAGGTGTTTTCTCCTTCTTTTTTTTTTTTTTCTTTGCCATTTTATATTTATTTATTTTTTATTCTTATGTTAATCCCCATACATTACATCATTAGTTTTAGATGAAGTGTTCCATGATTCATTGTTTGTGCATAACACCCAGTGCTCCATGCAGAATGTGCCCTCCTCAATACCCACCACCAGGCTAACCCATCCTCCCACCCCCTTCCCCTCTAGAACCCTGTTTGTTTTTCAGAGTCCATCGTCTCTCATGGTTCGTCTACCCCTCCGATTTCCCCCGCTTCATTCTTCCCCTCCCACTACCTTCTTCTTCTTCTTTTTTTTTCCTTAACATATATTGCATTATTTGTTTCAGAGGTACAGATCTGAGATTCAACAGTCTTGCACAATTCACAGCGCTTACCAGAGCACATACCCTCCCCAGTGTCTATCACCCAGTCACCCATCCCTCCCACCCCACCCCCCATTCCAACAACACTCAGTTTGTTTCCTGCAATTAAGAATTCCTCATATCAGTGAGATCATATGATACATGTCTTTCTCTGTTTGACTTATTTCACTCAACATAATACCCTCCAGTTCCATCCACGTCGTTGCAAATGGCAAGGTCTCATTCCTTTTGATGGCTGCATAATATTCCATTGTATATATATACCACATCTTCTTTATCCATTCATCTGTCGATGGACATCTTGGCTCTTTCCACAGTTTGGCTATTGTGGACATTGCTGCTATAAACATCGGGGTGCACGTACCCTTTCGGATCCCTACTTTTGTATCTTTGGGGTAAATACCCAGTAGTGTAATTGCTGGATCATATGGTAGCTCTATTTTCAACTTTTTGAGGAACCTCCATACTCTCCTTCTTTTTTAAGGGATTCCACTTGTAAGTGTATCAACAGGATCCAACAGGAAATGGGTGACTCACTCCTTCTGGGTAATGCAGGGGCAGTTTTTAAAAGGGGCTGTTTGTAAAGGTGTGAGCAGAGTTAGGGGCTGGACAGCACCCCAGAGCTAGCAGCACTAGAGAGCTCTTAGCACCCACATGCCTGAAGAAACAAAGGAAACAGTGGTTATAGCCAGAAACATTGGTTGTGTGGAATGCACTGTGGCCTCTGACTAAGAGTGGCCACCCATTGGCACATGTAGAAAGAGATTGGGAAGAGTAATACCCTGGCCTTTCTCTCCTCCTACCCTCCATCTCCTGACAGTGCCTCCCATTGGCCAAACCCAACCAGAAGCCAGAAGGCAGAACCCATCAATGTGATCCATGCAGGTTGATCTCCTGAGACAGAGATGAGCACAAAAGAGTGGTCTTGCTCTGATAAATGGAAGATACAGCATATTACACACAGACCATATTCTTCTGGAGAATCTCAAAGTGGAAACCCCACCCTCAGTGTTTAGCTTACTCTTTTGTTTCTAGTTCCTTGAGATGTACAGTTAGGTTGTTGATTATGCATCTTTCTTCCTTTTTAATGGAAGCACTTATAGCTATGAATTTCCCTCTGAGCACTGCTTTTGCTGTATCCCGAAGTTTGGGTATGTTGTGTTTTCATGTTCATCCATCTCAAACTATTTTCCAATTTAACTTGTAATTTCTCCTTTGATCCCATTGTTTAAGAGGGTATTGTTTAATTGCTACATATTTGGAAAGTGTCCAGTTTTCCTCCTGTCACTGATTTCTTATTTCATCCCACAGTGGTCAGACAAGATACTTGGGATGATTTCAATCCATCATCAGTGTTTAATTAGACAAAAGTGAATCACTAAGCCATTTCACATATACTAGGATGGCTATAATTTTTAAAAATGGAAAATAAATTTTGGCAAGAATGAGGAGAAACTGGAACCCTTGTTCTCTACAGGTGGGAATGTCAAATGGTGCAGACTCAATGGAAAACAATTTGTTAATTCCTCAAAAAGTTAACATAGAATTACCTTATGATCCAGCAATTCCAGTCCTAGATGCATACCCAAAGGGGTTAAAAACAAGGACTCAGATACTTATACAAGAATGTTCATAGCAGCACTGTTCACAATAGCTGAAAGATGGAAATAAACCAAATATCCATTAACAAGTGAATAGATGAACAGAGGGTGATCCATCCATACAATAGAATATTACTCAGCCATGGAAAGGAATGAAGTTCTGGCATATGCTACATTTTGGACAAACCTTCAAAACATTATGCTAGGGGTGCCTGGATGGCTCAGTAGGTTAAGCATCTGCCTTTGGCACAAGTCATGATCCCAGGGTCCTGGGATTGAGCCCCACCTTGGGCTCCCTGCTCAGTGGGAAGTCTGCTTCTCCCTCTCTCTCTGTCCCTTCCCCACCCACTAATGCGCTCTCTCTCTCCCTCAAATAAATGAAAAAAACCTTTTTTTTAAAGATTTTATTTATTTATTTGAGAGAGAGAGAATGAGAGAGAGCAAGCACATGAGAGGGGGGAGGGTCAGAGGGAGGAACTCGATCCCGGGACTCCAGGATCATGACCTGAGCCGAAGGCAGTCGCTTAACCAACTGAGCCACCCAGGCACCCTCTGTTGTACATACTTACCACATTTTCTTAATCCAGTCGTATGTTGATGGACATTGGGATTGCTTCCCCTTCTTGGCTTTTACCAATAGTGCTGCAATGAAATGAACGTGGGTTTGCAAAGAGCTACTTGCCTACTTTTGAACATAGGTTTCTTTTTTTTTTTTTTAAGATTTATTTATTTGTCAGATTTTTTTTTCTTTTTTAAGATTTGTTTGTCAGAGAGAGAGGGAGCGGCAGGGCAGAGGGAGAGGGAGAAGCAGACTCCCCGCCGAGCAGGGAGCCCGACGCAGGACTCGATCCCGGGACTCCAGGATCATGACCTGAGCCGAAGGCAGCCGCTCAACCAACTGAGCCATCCAGGCGCCCCATGAAAAAAAACTTTTAAAAATTACGCTAAATGAGGAGCGCCTGGGTGGCTCAGTCAGTTAAGCGCCCAACTCTTGATTTCAGTTGGGGTCATGATCTTGGAGTTGTGGGGTGGAGCCCCACATCAGGCTCTGGGCTCAGCCAGGAGCCTACTTGGGGTTTTCTCTCTTCCTCTTCCTCTGCCTCTCCCCTCACTTGCTCTCTCTCTTTCTAAAATAAAATTTAAAAATCTTTAAAAACATTATGCTAAATGAATAAGCCAGACATAAAAGTATAAAGATTATATGATTCCACTTACGTGAAATATCTAGAATAGGCAAATTTATAGAGACAGAAAGTAGGTTTGGGGTTAGCAGAGGCTGGGAGTAGGGAGGAATGAAGAGTCATTGCTTCTTTGGTGACAGTTGCAAAAAATTGGGAACATAATTAATGCCACTGAATTGTACTCTTTAATATGGTTAAATGGTGGCGATCATCTCACACAGTTGTAAATGACTATTATTCTTAATTCTGAAGATTAAAATGGTGACAATTTGAAATTGAGTCAAAAAAAGATGAAGAGGGGCACCTGGGTGGCTCAGTTTAGTTAAGTGTCTGACTTCAACTCAGGTCATGATCTCAGGGTCCTGGGGTCGAGCCCTGCATCCAGCTTCCTGTTCAGTGAGGAGTCTGCTTCTTCCTCTCCCTCTGCCCTTCCCCACTGCTAGTGCTCCTCTCTTGCTCTCACTCTCTCTCTCAAATAAATAAAATCTTTAAAAAAAAAAAAAAAGATGGGAGAATTTAAACCAGCTTAATACCGTTTTCACTAAGAATAAAACAAACTAAAAATGTTATGAGTCGTTATTCATTCATTCACTCAACAAATATTTGTCAGGTGTATCCAAAACACCAGACACCATACTATGCACTGGGAATACAGCAGAGAAGAAAACAGAAAGGTTTTTGTGGATCTTACACTGTAGTGGGAGGAGACAAACAATAAACAATAAGATCATCTTAGCGATAAATATTTGGAAAAAATAGAGTGTCAAGAGAATGGGAAGACAAGCCACAGACTGGGAGAAAATATTTACAAAAGACATATCTGATACGATGGAAGTGGCCCAAGTGTCCATCGATTGGTGAATGGATAAAGAAGAGGTAGTATATATAAACAATGGAATATGATTCAGCCATAAAAAAGGATGAAATCTTACCATTTGCAACGATGTGGCTGGAGCTAGAGAGTATAATGCTAAGTAAAATCAGAGAAAGACAAATGGCCATATGATTTCACTCATGTGGAATTTAAGAAGCAAAACAAAACAAACAAAGGGAGAAAAATAAGAGAAAGAGAAATCAAGAAACAGACTCTTAATTATAAAGAACAAATTAGGGATGCCTGGATGGGTCAGTTGGTTGAGTGTCTCCCTTTGGCTCAGGGCCCTGGGATCGAGCCCCGCATTGGACTCTTCACTCGGGGGGAGCCTGCTTCGCCCTCTGCCTGCCACTCCCCCTGCTTGTGCTCTCTTTCTTTCTCACTCGCTCGCTCTCTCTGATAAAAAAAAATAAATAAAATATCTTTTAAAAATTAAAATAAATAAAAATTTTAAAAAGAACAAACTGGTGGTTGCCAGAGGGGAGGTGAGTGGCGGGATAGGTTAAGGAGGTGATGGGGATGAATGAGTGCACCTGTCATGATGAGCACCGGGTGACGCGTGGAAGTGTTAAATCACTACATTGCACACCTGAAACCGATATAACAATGTATGTTAAATAACTGGAATTAAGTAAAAACTTTTTAAAAACATATCTGATAAAGGACTGTCATCCAAAATAGACAAAGAATGTATAAAACTCAATAATAAAAACGTTAATGGTTAAAATGACAAAATTTATGTTATATAAGTTTTACCACAATGATTTATTAAATCCCCCTACTTTCCTAGAAAATCATCAAGAAATCAACTCTAATCATCATGACACTCTATTTTTTCCAAATACTTATCACTACACTAAGAAGATCTTGTTTATTGTTTGTCTCCTCCCACTACATTTAAGGATGTGATTCTGACAAGAAGAACAAAGACAGTCTGGGGCTGCTGGTTCAAGGCCATCGAGAACCCGGAGCAGAAAACCAGGGCTCCCGGTCAGAGGTGAACTATGGGTCTCGCGAGTACCGCCGGGATGGCAGAAGGCTACGCGGTCCTAACCCAGCAGGGTAAGGAGGAAGCAGCCCTTCCTGCTCACTGCCAACACTACCCTGCTCCGCCCGCCAAACCTTGGCAGGGTTCGTGGCGCCACCTGCAGGTGACCATCTGCACTGCAGAGGGCGGTGCATCCCCGCAAAGTCAAAGACGCAAAGACCAAAGGAAGAGGCAGCCTTTCTGGACTTTATGGTGGGTCTCAGCCACTGTCAACTGCTTCATTGAAGAGGCTATTTGATTCAAGGGTATGCGAGCGGCCCCTATTTTCCAAGGGGGGGAAACTGAGCGTCAGGCGGAACATGCGTTCATGAAAAAGCTAGAAGGGGAATGTGGATCAAGTGTCTATTTAAAAACCCCGCGGCTCTGCGCCAGGGTCCTCCTCAGAGCCACCCTCACCTCCTTGTTGCGCAGGGTGTACACCACGGGGTTCAGCAGCGGCGTCACCACCGTGTAGAACACAGCCACCAGGCGGTCCTGGTCAGGCCTTCCCCCGGACTCGGGCCGCAGGTAGATGACGGAGGCGCAGCCGAAATGCACAATGACCACGGTGAGGTGGGCCGCGCAGGTGGAGAAGGCCTTGCGCCGGCCGGCTGCGGAGGGGATCCTCACGACGGCGGCCACGATGAAGGCGTAGGAGAGGAGGATGAGGAGGAAGGAGACCAGCACCACGAGGACGCTCAGGAAGAAGATGGCCAGAGCTTTGCCGGCACTCCCGGAGCAGCTGAGCTTCAGGACCGGGGCGATGTCACAGAAAAAGTGCTCCACGCGGTCGCTGCCGCAGAAAGGCGAGGAGAAGATCATGCTGGTCTCGATCGAGGCCACCGAGAAGCCGGAGCAGAAAACCAGGGCTTCCAGGCAGAGGCAAACTGTGGGTCTCATCATCACCGAGTACCGCAGGGGGTGGCAGATGGCCACATAGCGGTCATAACCCATCAGGGTAAGGAGGAAGCAGTGGCTGCATCCCAGGCCCAGGAAGAAGAACATCTGAGCCCGACAGCCGGGGATGGAGATGGCCTGGCTCTCCATGAGCAGATGAGCCAGCATGTTGGGGATGGTGACCAGCGTGTAGGAGGTCTCGGAGAGGGACAGCACCGCCAGGAAGCCGTACATAGGAGTGTGAAGGGTCCGATCCACCTGGATGATGGTGATGATGGTGATGTTGCCACTGAGGGTGACCAGGTATGTGAGAAAGAACAGCCCGAAGAGGGTAGTTCTCAGATCTGGGAGGTTGGAGAAACCCACCAGCACAAACTCAGTCACCAGCCAGGTGACATTTTCCTGCTGCTTCTCAGGAGCCTGAGAGGAGAGGACAGAGTGAATGGAATGGGACAATTTCATAACGAATCTGCCGTGCATCTGGTACCGGTAGGGTAGGAAATCATCCCTGTTTTACAAAAAAGGAAAGAGACTCAGAAATTATGTCACTTGTTTTCCTAAATATCACCCAGCTAGCCAGTGTCTCTTCAATAGACAAGAAAATCACAGATATGGAAACAACCTGTGTCAGTCAATGGATGAACAAATAAGGATGTGGTATGGGGCACCTGGCTGGTTCACTGGTACAGCATGCGACTCTTGGGGTGGCGAGTTCAAGCCCATGTTTGGTGTAGAGATTACTTAAAAAGAACAAGGAGGAGGAGGAGAGGAAGGAGAAGGAGGAGAAGGGCTATATACACACAATGGAATATTAATCAGCCTTGGGAAAGAAGCAAATCCTGCCGTGGGCAACTAAATGTGGCTGGATCTTGAGGACATGATGCTAAGTGAGATTAGTCAGATAAGGAAAGACAAATACAGTATGATATCCCTCATAGGTGGAATCTAAAAGAGCCAGACTCTTAAAAAAAAACAGAGAGTAAAATGGTCATTGTTTAAGAGTCTCTACCAAGAGGGGCATGCCTGGCTGGCTCAGTCAGTAGGGCATGCAACCCTTGATCTCAGGGGTCATGAGTTCAAGCCCCATGTTGGGCATGGAGCCTACTTAAATTTTTTTAAAAATTTTTAAAAGAGTTTCTACCAGGAGGCATGAATTTCCCAGTAATTCCCACTTGACATGTACAGGGAATTCAAAGTCCCCATCTGATGAGAAAAAAACATATAAGGGTCAAGTGGATGTGGGAGAGGAATTTACAAGGTCTGCTGCAGTCCGTGTGAAAAGAACTCCCCAGAAAGACAAAGCCTGTAACAGTGATATCTGCAATGAACAAAGTAACACCTTTAGGAATCTGAATACTAGGGCTATATCATGACTTCTATGGGCCCTAGGCACTTCTGCCTTCCCCATAAAATTTTTTTTACTTTTATTTAAATTGTATTCAAATAAAGTTTATTGAATCAAATAAAATCTAAATTTTATTTAAAATAATTTAAATATTATAACATTTTAAATGTGTATGTTATAGGACTGTGTTGGTATAAAGATGAATATATTCTTCAACCCTCAAAGCTTATTTATTTCTTCTGATCTGAGAAATTAACACAATTTCATGGCCCCCCACACCCACCCAATAGTATTGTGGACCCTAGGCATTGTGCTAATGGCTACATGTGTTAATTAAATGGGAAATGACTCTGAAATTATTGACCATTTTAATTCAAATGATGAGGCTTTAGTAGAAATCCTGGATTGGTGATAGCTTAATTGTTTTATGATGGATTAACCTACTAGCTCAGAAAAAAAAATACCTATATTGAAATTTTCCTCAGAGTATTTTGCACTCACTTGGAACATGGGACTTTTTTTAAGGAAAATGCCCCCCAATGCCATCTTTCCCTGCTGATCAAGAGTTCATTGGCTTAGATAAGCAAAACTCAGTCTTGAGTTCCTCAAATACCAACTCAGACAAGGCAGGTGGGAAGGAGAGTGGAGAGGACAGTACTGATTCAGGAGCCACCTAGTGGCATTTTGGGTAACCTGCAAGCCAGTGACTTCTAAGAGGAGAAAAAATGAATGGCTGTACACCTGACAATTCTCATCCAACAATGGGGCCATAGAAATTGAGAATAATCATTTAAATGTTTTAGAAGTTTGCTGAAATTTTAATTTAGGAAACATAAATTTTAGATTTTAGTTCTGAAGATATAATAGAGAAAAACAACAAAAATGTTCTTGATCGATATTCTGGTTATGAAGAAAAGACGAGTCAGGACCATCGACGAACTTAACAGGAGGGAAAAGATGGTGAGGGAAGGAAGAAACAGGCAGCCATGTCAATCGAGCACAGGGGTGAAAAAGTTTTCTGTAAAGGACCAGATAGTGAATATTTTAGACTTCATGGGCTGCACGATCTCTGCCATAACTGCTCAACTCTGCCATTCTAGTGTGAAAGCAGCCATAGACAATGTACAAACAAGTGTGCATGGCTGTTTCAATAAAACTTTATTTACAAAAACAGGCAGCGGGCCAGATCTGGTCCTCAGACTGTAGACAAGTAAAACTAAAACAATATTCAACTTAGGGAAACTCCAAAGAGCTCCTCTGAGGAATTTGTGCTATGATAAAAGCAAAGCCTACTGTGAAATCTGCAGAAACTAAAGCAAAATGAAATTCAAAAACCAAGAATCTTGGACTCCACTTAAGAAATCTAGATCTGAGAAAATGCACACTGGGCAGAGACGCATGTGACTAAAAGAAGCCCCTTTACTGCAAATTAAATAGTATCAGAACATCAGAGCTTTTAGAGAGTGAGAATAATAGAAACTCAATGACCTGGAAGACTTCATGAAATAACTGGATATGACCATTAAAAAAAATGTAATTTCCAAATATCACAAAGCATTGTTAAATTGAAACAAATGTATAGGCAAATCACAAACTAGAAAAGGTTGTGACCCTAAAATATGTTTAGCTCTTACAAATCATTAAGAAGAAAATGAAAACTTCCAGTTATAAAATAAGTAAGTCATGGGATATAAAGTCCAGCATGGTGAACATAGTTGATAATTCTGTAATGGTTATTTGAAAGTTGCTGAAGAATACATCTTAAAAGTTCTCATCACAAGAAAAAGAATTTGTAACTATGTATGATGGTGATCACGTTGCCATATATAATAACACTGAATTATTATGTCGTACAACTGAAACTTCTCTCTCCCTCTGCTCCCCCCCACTCACATGCAGGCACTCGCAGTCACGCTCTCTCTCTAAAAAAAAAATAAAAAGAAGAAGAATCAATAACTTGGGGCACCTGGCTGGCTCAATCCATGGAGCTCTTGACTCTTGATCTCAGGGTCATGAGTTTGAGCCCCATGTTCCATGTAGAGGTGACTTAAAAATAAAATCTTTTAATGCGGTGCCTGGGTGGTTCAGTCGGTTAAGCGTCTGCCTTCGGCTCAGGTCATGATCCCAGGGCCTTGGAATCCAGTCCCACACAGGGCTCTCTGCTCAGCAGGGAGCCTGCTTCTCCCTCTCCCTCTGCCTGCCGCTCCCCCTGCTTGTGCGCTCTCTCTGTCTCTGTCAAATAAATAAATAAAATCTTTAAAAATAAAATAAAAATTTTTTTAAATCTTTTTGAAAAAAAGAGTAATTGGGGCGCCTGGGTGGCTTAGTCATTAGGCGTCTGCCTTTGGCTCAGATCATGATCCCGGGGTCCTGGGATCAAGCCCCACATCGGGCTCCCTGCTCAATGGGAAGCCTGCTTCTCCCTTTCCCTCTCCCCCTGCTTGTGTTCCCTCTCCCGTTGTGTCTCTCTCTGTCAAATAAATAAATAAAATCTTTAAAAATAAATAAATAAAAATTTAAAAAGAGTAATTGAAGGGCATCTGAGTGGCTCAGTCGGTTAAGCGACTGCCTTTGGCTCAGGTCATGATCCCAGGGTCCTGGGATCGAGCCCCATGTGGGGCTCCCTGCTCAGCAGGGAGTCTGCTTCTCCCCCACTCTCTGCTCATGTTCTCCCTCTAGCTCACTCTCTCTTTCAAATAAATAAATAAAATCTAAAAAAAAAAGAGTAATTGATAAAATGAGAATTCTTATTTGTTTTGCAAAAAATGGAAAACAAGACAGTAAGATTCTAACTGACTACATATGAATGTGTTCTTTTTTTTTTTTTCTTGTATGTCCCAGATTTTCTACCTCAAGTAGGAATTTTTATAAGTAAAAGAAACAAAAATTTCTTAGAGGGATTTTTCTTTTCTTGGTAAATTTTTGTATTATTCTTCAAGGAGTTTAATCAATCTGATTTTGACAGGGGAAGCTAAGGGTAGAGATAAAGAGGTTCCTTTCTGAATGTAAAATATGCTAACACCATTTCTGATTAACATTTTTCAACATGTGACCTGAACAGCAAAGGTCTAGTTAAAACTACAGATCAGTAGGTGACAAGGCTTCTTGATAAGCCATGAGGCGGACTTTTTAGGAAGATCATAGGAAGCTGAGTATGAGGAATAAGGGAGTTAGAGGAACCTTCCAAAGTGAGCTGATGCTTTTTAGAGGGAGAAGTCAAGACCAGGCTGATGGACTCCCAACTGTTAGTTGCCATATAGGGAAGGGGCCCTTCATGGTATTAAAACAAGCTTCCTCCAACAGTAAGCCAGCCCATCTTGGGCATCTTAAAGAAGGGGATTGAAAAGGAAACCACCCCCCTCAATATACACTCAGTGTAGGAGTCTCCTCTACTGCAATTATACAGCCTCTACTTGCATGCCTCCAGTGATGGGGAGGTCACTATCTGACAAAAAAAATCCCCATTACCTAGGGCAGAAGTCCTGTGCTCAAGGCAGTCCTTCAGTGACCTGCAGGAACAACAGGGATGAGCCCCAGAATCAGACAAGCCTGAACTTGAATGTTGGTGCCTTCACTCACTCGAGGTAGTGTGACCGAGGGCCGCTGGTTTGACGCCTCCGCACCTCATCTGTGAGAGTTGAGATTGATAATAGTCAGTTAAGATTCCCGGAACAGTGCTATGACCCTTTTGGTCTCGGACTCCTTGCGAGCCTTTGCACCTCTGGGGAAGCAGGGTCTAGGGGGATAATCTGCTCACATTCTTGCAGGCATGGTGCCAGGACTTGAAGCCAAGGGTGTCTCCAGATGCTCTGCCTTGAGGCTGTTTTACAGGCTCACCTTTCATCCTGCTCATGTTCACTGAGTATCTGCTCTGAGCCAGGTGCTGCTGTAGACCCAGCAGGGAGCTAAACAGGAGGCAGAGATCCCAGCCTTGGAGGAGCAGAAGGTTCTAGAGGGAGGGTGTTGGGCAATAAGCAACACACTTGAAAACTTAAACAAGTGAGCCTGTACGTTAGAAGAGAAGTACTGCAGGAAAGAAAAAGCAGAGTACTTAGAGGCTCCTTGAGGGGAAGTGTTCCATGTAGGACGGTCAGTCCCTCGGGAATCCTCCCCTTCCTTCCTTCCTTCCTTTTCAGATCTCACCTCTATAGCTGGGGATGGGCCAGGGTGGCTTCAGCAGGGCAGCCATGGCCCCCAAATTCGCCCTTGAAAGAAATTTTTAAAATCAGCCCAGAGGATATGTGAGGGAAGACCAGGGAGAGGCATCAGCCCGTGCAAAGGCTCTGGGGCTGGGCTGGGCCTGGAACAGGAAGAGCCAGGAGGAACAGAGTGATAGAGGGAGCAAGAGGGGGAAAGGAGGTGAGGCCACAGGAGTGACAGGGGCATGTTGCTAGGGTCTTGTGGTCACAGGGCTGACTTCAGCTCTTATGCCAAGTGGTGTGAGGCCGATGGAGGATTCTGAGCAGGGGAGGGATGTGACCCGACTCAGGTTTTCCCAGGCACCCTCTGACTGTTGAGGGAGAACAGAGTGTGGTGGGGGGACACAGGTAAAAGTCGGAAGACCAAGGAGGAGCTGGCTGAGCTGATCCAGGGTGAGGGATGATGGGAGCTGGACCAGGGCGAGGGCCATGGAGGCAGTGAGAGGTGGCCAATTCTGGACAGGTGTGCAGGTGGAGCCCACTGGACTTCCTGACAGGTTGGATGCAGGCGTGAAAAAAAGAGCAGGGTATGGGAGCTGGCAGAGCTGCCTCAGGAGTATGCTGGGTAAGACCGGTCTAGCCAGGGGGCGGAGGGGACTCTGTCATCTCAGGGAATGCTGGGGGCACACACACGCTGAGCTGAGCGTGAGGGACGCATACAGACAGGAGGCCCCTCTCCATCTGCTCCAACCCCCAGCACCCCACCCCAGAGGGGGAAGAAGAAAGCAGGAAACCTTGAACGTGGCTGAAACTTAACCCTACAACAGCTGAGAAGCTGTGACTTTTTGCCTCAACACGTCCAAATTCCGCTTTCCAAATGTGACAGGTGAGAGTGCTTAATCTAACGAAATGAGGTTGCAGGACTAGAAAGTAACTTATTTGCATACCTGAAACCTGAGAAAATTGCAGCCAAAGAAAAAACTCCAGGCCAGCTGCTTCTTGGAGAGGGAGTTAGCAGGAGCTCATGGATGGTGAGTTCTGGAGCTCTGCCCAATGCCACCTTCATGGTGAGGGTGACAGACAGGAGCACATGGGATTAGGATCTAGAGTCTTTCCCCTTCCTCTTCCTTTTCTTTGGGAATCCCCCCCAAAATAAAAAAAATAAATAACAGGAGCCCTTTCCCCACCACCTTTGAGCCCTCACTGCTATATAAATGTGTGCATTTGCGCCCATGAAACTTCAGGGTATGTGTGTGTGCATGTGTGTGTGTTGCTTGCAGGACACACGTGTGCATTTCACACCCCATGTGCTCAGACCACGGCCCCACGGTCTGCTAGGACACTTGTGCATACTAGCATTCTGTGCACGGGTGAGCGTCTGTGGCTTTGGAGGGTTCTCCTTGAGGTTCCCCCAGAGGTCTCTCCTTCCCTTCCTGGGCAGATGTCATATTCTCTTCCACTCTACATTTTGCCATCCACAGAAAACAGAACTGAACACCTTTAGGGCAAATGCCATCCAAGCCCATCACCGTTGGCTGTTTTCAGGTTAACACTCAGTCACTCTGGCATTTCTCTCTCCCCCGACTCATTTTCAGATTTCACCCATAGGGCCAGGGATGGGCTGGAGTGGCTTCTGCCTTGCAAAGTCTCTGAATCCATACTCACCATGGCCAAGGGAGGTTCCCACAGTGCCTGCCTGCATCGCTCTCTGCTCACAGCCTGTGAAGGGAGGGGCTGAGGACCCAGATCCTGTTATGCAGGGGGTCCCCAGAGCTCCTGTCCCAGGGGCTTCCCAGCCACTAACAAGCACCCCAGCGCTCAGGCTGGTGATGCCCTGCAGATTTTCTCCCTACTGGAAACTAGAGACCCCAGGGTCTGCTTCCCCAGCCCCCAGGCTCCGATGGCAAAAAGTGGGGGAAGAACTAATTATGATTTATTTTTGTGGTGGAGATCACAAACACACTCCTCACTCCATCCGTGCACCCCAGTACCCATCAGTGCTCACTGTGTGCTGGGCAAGGCTGCTGCCCCGAGGAAGATGCGTGTGTGTGTGCACGTGCGCACGTGCACACACACACACACACACATGCATGCACACTCCCTGCTCCCAGGGCTGGAAGGAAGAAGTGGATCACTTGATGTT